TAGTTCCCCAAAACCCAACCTTTAAAGCTTTTGGGTTGTTATACTTTAGTCGTTATCGGAAAGCTTAACCTTTTATTTCCCCTGGCTTGTTTGGGGAAGTAAGTATAGGATCCCCCCAAAGCCCCACTCTGCTTATCCAGGCCCCTACAGCAAACACCTTATAGTAGGCCTGGTTGAACTCTCTCAAGCCCTATTTCAATTAGTACGGCTGCTACAGTATTGATCCTTTAAAGCCCCATTACGGCAACTGCCGATGGAATCACAGAAATGATCCCTTAATACCCGCAGGTACCCCCTTTGAAGGGCCTTCTAAAGGGAGCCCTATTCTAATCTTTAATACTTGGAGGTCCAGGGGACTTAGTAAGTCGGTTACAAGTAGGGTTATAATTGGGGTAACTCCAGTTAGGGACTTATAACTCTACTTATAACCTACTTACTAAGTCCCGTGGGCCTCCACGTAGACCCTAAACCCTAAACCCCAAACCCTATATAGAACCCTTATAGTACTTTGTCCCCTGGGCCTCCAAGTAAGCCGCTTTAGTGCGCCAATTGAGGGTACTTATAGCAACAGCCAAGGAATCACACGAAGTGGGAGCTGATGTCACCTGGTAGCAGACCGCAGTGGGACATCGGCAGGGGTTCGGGATCTACAGCTCTTTCCACTGTGGCCGAGAGAACCTGTATACTTATCTAAATGAAAATCATAAAAATTAACATCATCTAATAATAAACCTTGTTGTGTTCTCTTTTGCTTTTCGGGAAATATTTTTAGTCTGTAGACCTTCAACCAAAATACCCAGGGTCGAGGGCCATTTGGGTCCGTGTTTGGCTGTGTTCATGAGCCCGAGCTCAGCTATGCAAAAGCTCGTGCTGAAAGGATTATACAATCAACACCTTGCATCCTAAACCCTAAGCCCTAAACCGTGGTCCCTGCTACCCCAAGCCCTAAACCCTGAAAACGTGACTGTAATTAGTGAGCGGCGACATGGGCTTCTAGAAAAGATTCAGATCAGAGGGCTGTCAGGGCTTTAGGGGAGAGTTTTATTGATTTCTCTGCACTTAACGGTTTAAGCTTTTGAAATTAGGGCTTACAGGGCGTATAGGGCGTATAGGGTTTAGGGTTGGGAGGAGGCATCACGGCAAACAACACATGGGAGCCCTACGCGAACTGGGCACTTCCCGAGCACTCGGCCAGCGTGGGCCGGGTTTAGGGTAAGACTTTTAGGATTGAGGGTAATTAATGGTTTTAGGTTTTAGGGTTTGGCTTTAGGGCAAGGGTTTTAGGGTTTGGGGTTTCGGGTTTGGGGTAAGGGTTTTAGGGTGTTGTAGGGTTTAGGCTTTAGGGTCCCGCCGATGCCACAACGACGTCATGAAAGCCCTGACAGATGCAAGCCGAGACGACTGGATGACTGGTCGGTCTCGGTC